AATAATACATAATTTTTATAATTTTTTGAGAGATTACCATACGATGGAAACAGGAAAAATAAATAGCTCGAAGCCTTTTATTTGAAAGATTGGTGTTCACCAAAATCTGCAGCTGTGTGTTCCGCACATTTCAGAAAGGAAGATTATGAATCACATCTGGAGTGCAAAAGATTAAAGAAAGATGCTATTCTATTTGTACATATAATATCACAGTTTAACAATCAACAAAATATATATAATATATATATATATATATATCTTCAAAAATGTATCATTTTTAAAGATATTTTAAAAATGTGTTGTGCCCGGAACAGCACGGGGTGTGGAGTGCAGTCGGGAGATGTGAATATCTCAGGCTGCCGAAGGAGAGGAGTTGAGAAACGGCTGCTTTCTTTTATCAATTATTACTCTTCTTTTCTTTAGATCAAAGAAGTTGTAGATTTAATACAATTATACATTTATTAATACAAAGCCTGTCTTATTTAACATCCATCCGTTCGGTTGAATCCCTTTTCTGCTCTTGCCTCTATTTCGTGTAGGCTCAGTGAATGTTTTAGGTTTCTCGCGTACTTAGCTCGGTCTGCAGTTACACTTGGTTACGTTACACTTGGTTTTCTCGACTGTCCGCCGTGCTCTTGTGGTGGTTCGTATTTAAACCCTTGTTTTGAGAGGGTTTTTGAGAGGAGACCGCTTAGTAACATGGCCATACGGGATCATGGTGCGGTCAAGTTGAAGTGCAAGCGAAGGTGATTCGATGTCGAAATCTTTCGTTGCACTTCCGTGTTTCCGGCGAATTCGCGCGTGGTACGCTGAGACAGCGATTCTATAAGATGAATGTTCGATATTGCATTTACCAATAATATTTTATGCTGACGCTTAATACTTTAATTATGTATAGGTTATAGTCTTTGAGACTATAACATCCCTCCTCCGTTAAAAAAAAAAACGGAGGTTGAAACGAAGTTTATCTATAATTTTTTACGATTTTGAATATAATACAATGTCTTTTTCCCGTTTTATAATGTTGATTATAATCGTTTCTTACATCTAGCTTATTATCATATCTTTTTTTTGTTTTTTTTTTAAACCATGTGCTTTTATTTCTTTTTAGTATTGATTTAAGCATTCCATGATTTGTCAACTTCATCTACTAATGTAACAACAGCTGGTCGTTTAGATTTCCTTTTCCTATGTTGAATAATTATCCATGCTATTAATTTTATAATGAATAGTTAAAATAGTTATTCCACTAGAAGCCGTTGTATAAATGAATTGCTTTTGTTTAAAAAAGTTATTGTCGTTATTGTTTAAGTTATTATTAATTTCTTCTAATTTACTTAATCTTTTTAATTCTAGTGGATTATTTATTATTTCTTTAAATTCGTGTTCGTGATTTTGTCATTAATTTCTGTGACTGTTATATTGAACTCTGGTAAAAATGTTTCTATATTTGTATTATATGTAATTGTTTCTGTCTGTATCGTCATGTCTGTAGTTATTAGTTTACAGTTATTGTGTAATGTAATCCGACCTGTGTTTTTGATTATCTTTTTATATTCAGGATGATCATTACATTTTATCGTAATCTGTTGCTCGAATGATGTCGAATATAACCAAGAGTGCGGCTGTTGTAATGTGATCCATATTGCGCAGGTCGCTTTTTATATTACATTGATAGTTTTGTTTTGGCCTATATTACATTGATAGTTTTGTCCTTGTACATAAATTTTCATTTCGCACGGTGTATTTTCGTTGGCATAGTAAATTGGTTGATTTTTGTCGCATAAATATAAATTATTATTATTTGTACATTCGTTTAAGTCTTGTTTTCTTAGAATTAGATAGGTACGTGTTTCTTTATTTACAGCAATCAGCTTATTAGCTACTTCTGTATATATGTAACGCACAGTTTTTCGTTCCGCGAATTTCTGATTTCGGATAGCCATCGGTTCCAGGTATAGAATAAGATGCACGTGTATTAAAATGAGGTGTTTATTTGTATATATTGTACAAGTGTGTGAGTGTCTATATATGTGTATATATCTATAAGTGTGTATGTGTGTTGATTTGGGCGCGCCGCGAGCGCGCGTTAAAGCGCGATGGTTCGATATTCGCGCGTGAGTTCGATAAATCGCTTAGAACGGGCGGCGGTGAGGCGCGATTTAAGTATAAATTAACAATGGAAATGCCCCGGATCATGAATAACAAACGATGACGCAGCAACAATAATTAGGTACGCAATGTTAATTATAATTTTGTGAAGGATGCGATCATGCGGTTCCCGGTATTCGGTGCGTTCACGGATCTCTTATCGCGCGCGTTTTTGCGCGGGTTTTTGTTGCGCTTATTTACGGCCGCCTGGGGCGAAACGTTTAAAGCTCGGTGAGATGGCCCTTTAAAGTATTAATTTTCCCCGAAGGTTATTAGGAGTAGGAAGACGTCACGACGCTAGCAAGCGTTGGAAGCGGCTCGTGTTCCACCCCCGGGAGAAGCGCGATATCTTGTGGTATGTTTGACAGCGATTTTGAAGGCACCGATATCAATCGGCGGAGGCAGCGTTCACACTACTTTCTGGCCTTTCTAATTTCGCAGGATTTCCTCTAATTGCTTTGCTTGCCTTCGGACTAGCTCGGCTAGAAGGATAGAAAGGATCTGATCTGAAGTGTCACCGGGAGCCCATTTTATACCGCTAATTATGGCACGCGCCGGCGTATTTGTTATTAACTCCCACCGGGCGGCGGAAAAAATAACGGTATATTCGCGCGGGGTTCTCATTCGGCGGCTCCCGGCGGCGGTGCTCGAGATGCCGCGTGCGATTCTCAATCGGCGGCTCCCGGCCGACGGTGTTTTGTCGGACTTCCTACCCAGTTTTTCGCTAAAAGTTTAAAAGGTGGGCACACAGCCCTCTGCCTCTGCCTGACCGGTGGTCGTCGGGCGGCAGTTTCCGGCTGATGTTTTGCTGGGAAACGATGCATTTCGGGGTGCATCGTTACATATATAAAACTATTTTCGTAGTTAGGTGTCGGTAACGGAATTACGTTCAAGATGTCAAACATTGGTTGTGTAATTAATGGAAATTTTAAAATTGTGTTTGTTTTCTCGCAGTACGCGCTTACTTTCATGTAATTTTCGATCGTTAGCCATTCGTCAATTTTTATTTGAAAAGGAAAATATGCTCCTTGTGGTAATTGTAGTACTGCTTCTTTTAGATATAGAATAATTTCATTTATCGGAGTTAACAAAGGATGTATTGTGCCCTTATGTACATGTGTAAGATATTCTAAAACATCTTTGGCATCCCTAATTAAATCGTTTATTATTGCTATGATTATGGTGAAATGTTCGTCTATCTCCTCGCGCGTAGTGTATTCCCTAATGTAGTGGTTCATTAATTTACTTATAATCCAATATGTTTTCTAATTTATTTTGTAACGGTCCGATTTTCGGAGGAAATTGCATATAGCTCGTCGGATTTCGGGTAATAAATCGTGAACGAGTTAAAGGTAAAATAAGAATTTATTCAGATCAAATGCATGTGTACAAGAGATGACTGAGCGTATATATCGTTAAGTGCGTGTATATCGATGCGAGTGTATACATGTGAGCGTATGCAAACGGTGGTATCACGCGCGCGTATGAATGCGATGGTATAAAACGTGTGTGTAAATGCGGTTGTATAAATGCGCGTGTATGAATGCGGGTGTACAAATGAGCGGGTAAAATGCGATGGTATAAATGTGCATGTATAAATACAGTTGTATAAATGCGCGTGTATAAATGCGATTGTTTAAATGCGCGTGTGTAAATGTGGTTGTTTAATTTGTATAGATGCGCTGGTATAATTGCGTATATAGGGAACCGCTAGGAATATGGCAGGTTCTTTTACTCAATAACCACACGGTAGGAACAGTAAAAATAACATTTATTCCTTATTCATACATCATCGAATATAAGGCTTGTGATAGTGTCTAGTGTACGTGTATGGATTCGGGGATCGGGTTTGCGTCCCCGCGTTTCGGACCCGGTATTGGGTGGATTCCTCTCGTTTTCCGTCGGTCTGGGTAGACACGTCCCTTGTGCTTATCGTCGTCTGCGTGGCTGTAGACCGGATGATCTCCCGAAGCTTGGATAGTCGTGGGTCCTGTGGCTCCGGGGAAATGCGTGGTGGCGTGTACCACGGAATTGTCGGTACTTGCACTGGCCCCAATGAGACCGGCGTGGTCGGCCTCGGACCGAGGACAGCTTTAGGCCTTCCGTAGACCTTCTTTACGCCGCGTGGATGGAAAGCGATGGTAAGGCCAGTCCTGCTACGTCCTCGTTGTATGAGAGGTGTTAGAGAAGGATCGTAGATGACCCTTCTCTTCTTTGAGAGAGGCCGGGATGCGGACTCTAAGAATGACCTTCCGGGAGCGAGGTCTACACTCCAAGGGGCTCTCCCTCGATTGGGGGCTCCTGTTGGCCGAGCTGGTCCTTTGTGGCGGAGAAAGTGCCACGTGTAGTCCCGTCGTCGCCTCGTTGCTCCGTCTGCCCGACAGTACCGGAGATGGTCGTGTCCTCTTCCGAGTGGTGATCACCTCCGAGAGAGGAGGTAAGTTCTCCGATGCCGCCGTGATGTCGTCGAGGTTGCTGCTCTTCTCGAATTCTTCTTTCGTCTCGTAGCGCTTAGAAGCGATAGACGTGAGAGAGGTGTCTTGGCTCTGCGGGAGTCCTCCTTATATTTGCCGAATGCTGTTTTTGATTTGTGGGAAAAGCACAGTTGGCGTGCGACGCCTGGCGGAGGTGCCCGGTACTAGGCGCGCAGGTTATAAATAGCCGCCGCATGCCTTGCGCGCTTGCGAGAAAGCCGAGTCGCCGCATGCTTGCGCGCCTGCGAAAAAGCAGGGTCGCCGCGTGCTCGTGCGTTTGCAAGAAAGCAAAATTGCCGCGCGCCGAGTCAGTGCGCTCTCGCAAAACGTCTTGTGTGGCGTGTACCGCCACATTACCCCCTTCGTTGCATTTTGTTAGGATGCTTGGAATCGTACCGTTTTGCGTGAAGTTCTCCCACTTCTTGTTCTGATTTTCGTGGGTGTCGGTGTTTCTTGATTCCCTAGAACTGTTGGAACGTTTTGAGGTTTTGTCTGCTCTTTTGCCTGGGCCGGTTCCTCTGTCAGTATGTATGCTGGTTTTAATCGATCCTTTGTTACGTGGACGGTTTTCTCGTTGATCCGTAACTTATAGACCTTTTCTGTTTTGTTGAGGACTTCATACGGGCCGCTATATGTTGGTTGGAGTGCCCGTGTTGGTGCGTCATGCCTGAGGAATACATGTGAAGCTTTTTCTAAGTCTTTGTACTCAAAGATTGCTGGCGTTCCGTGTTTCTTAACCGGTTGTGGTCGTAGTTTTTTCATAGTTTGCTTGAGTCGGAGTATAAAATCATTTGAATTCTCTGTTGTGTCCTGTAACTCTTGAAGGAATTCTCCAGGTAGTCTTATTGCTTCTCCATACACCAATTCTGCCGGTGGTGCGTGAAGATCTTCTTTGAAGGCTGCTCTGATCCCCATTATGACTATTGGCAGTATTTCTGTCCATGCTTCTGTTGCGTGACATTTTATTGCTGTCTTTATCTAGCGATGGAGGCATTCTACCATGCCGTTTGCTGCAGAGTGGTAGGCCATTGTATGCATGTGCATTGTACCTGTTATTTTGGTTAGTTGCCGGAACAAATCGGTCTCAAACTGTCTTCCTTGATCCATTGTGATCCGAATAGATGTGCCGAATCTTGCGATCCAGTGAGTGAACAGATTCTATGCTACTGTCTCTGCGGATATGTCTGTTACCGGTATAGCTTCGGGCCATCTGGTAAATCGATCGACTACCGTGAGGCAATATCTATAGCCTTTTGAAATGGGTAAAGGTCCGACCAGATCTATATGTATATGTTCAAACCGTTTTGAAGGGTTCTTAAAACTGCCGAGAAGTGTCCGATTGTGTCTCTGTACTTTAGCTCGCTGGCAGTTGATTCAGGCCCGTGTCTATTGGTGGCAATCCGTTTTTATTCTTGGCCATACATATCGTTCTGCCACTAATTTTGCTGTAGCTTTGGTCCCAGGGTGTGACAGGCTATGTAGTGATTGAAACACTTGTCTTCTATATTCCTTTGTGACGAACGGTCTTGCGATTGGTGTTGTTGTGTCACAATATAGTGTGGAATTTGTTCCAGGAATTTGTATCTTTTACAGTTTCAGTGCCGAGTCTTTATTTACTAACTTTTGCAATTCAGTGTCGTCTTCTTGTGCTTTTGCTAGATTCTCCAAGTTAATTGATTCCTGGATCTTTTCGACTCTTGACAATGCGTCGGCGATAGTATTGTCTTTTCCTGAAATGTGTCGTATATCGGTAGTAAATTGTCCAATATACTGTAGGTGTCTCGTCTGCCTTGGCGAGCTATGCAGTAGGTCTTGCTGAAAGGCGTATGTGATTGGTTTGTGGTCTGTGAAAATCGTGAAGTCTCTTCCTTCGAGCATATGGCGGTAATGCTTTATGGCGGCATAAATCGCCAACAGCTCTCTATCGTAAGGGCTGTATTTTTGCTGTGCTGGATTGAATTTTTTGCTGAAGAAGGCTAATGGCTACCATTCTTCTCCGACCCGTTGTATTACAGCACCCATTGCTCTGTCAGAAGCGTTGTGAGTGTGATCTCTGCTTCGGGTTTGGGATGTGCCAGCATAGTTGCCCTGACAAGGCTCTCTTTGCATTTCTGGAAGGCCTCGTCTAACTCTTCGTTCCAAGTAATTGGTGATTTCTTTTTAATCTTCGGACCACTGAGTACGTCGTTTAATAATACTTGCTCCCTTGCAGCGTCGGGGATGAATCTACGATAGAAATTCAGTATTCCTAGAAATTGGCGTAATTGTTGTATGTTCTGTGGTTTAGGAAAACTTTTTATTGCTTTGATTCTGTCTAGCTGGGGTCGCGTCCCTTTCTCTGAAACTTCGTATCCCAGGAAGAGTACTTGTCTAGCTCCGAAGATGCATTTGGTGGGGTTTAGTAAAATGCCGTTTTCTTCTAATCGTTTGAAGAGTTTGCGTAAATGTTCTTCATGTTCCTCTTCGTTGCTGCAAGCCACCAGGATGTCATCAATGTAGGCGTAACAGAATTCCAAATCGTTCGTAATTTCGTTTATGAAACGTTGAAATGTCTGTGCCGCATTACGTAGACCGAACGACATGTAGCGGAACTCAAAGAGACCGAAGGGAATAGTAATTGCCGTTTGGATGCACAGGAATTTGATTGTATGCTCGAACTAGGTCCAATGTTGAAAAAAACTTCTTGTTATGGAGAATCTGTGAGAAATCTTTTATATGCGGAATCGGATAGCGGTCTGGCACTGTTCTTGCGTTAAGGCGTCTGTAGTCTCCGCACGGTCTCCATGCGTTTTCCTTTTTTTGAACCATGTGTAGAGGGGCTGACCAAGGACTTTTTGATGCTTGTATAACTTCCTCTCGTAGTAGGAAGTTGAACTCTGCCTTTGCTGCCTTTAGTTTATTCGGATCCAGCCGACGAGGGCGGCATGCCTCCGGTGGTCTCTCTGTTACAATGTGGTGCACGGTGGAGTGTTTGATGGTCCGTGCTCTAGTCGTAGCTCTTGTAATCTCGGGAAATTCTGCGAGGATGCGATGATACTTATTTTCGATTGTCAGTACCTTTATTGACTCCTCCTTTATTGATCCTGTCTCTGCTGTACCCTTGATGTGTAGCTCTGTTTTCCCGTCCACCAGTACTCCTTTTTGTAAATCCGGCAGATGGTAGTAGCTTAGGAAGTCTGCTCCGATAATGGGTGATGTGACGTTTGCTATGACGAATCGCCATGGGAATGAACGTCGTAGTCCTAAGTTTGGTTGTAGCGTGATCCAACCGTATGTAGTGATCAGAGAACCATTTGCTGCGAATAACTCGTAATTCGTTGGCAATATCCTGTTGTCATCGAGCAGGGATAACGCTTACGTCGGAGCCTGTGTCTACGAGGAAACGTTCCTTGGTTGTTCGACATGTTACATGGAGGCGGCGGAGTCTTGGAGCGGAGCCACTGGCCGCCATTAGTGGCTGCCCTGGTCTTTTTCCGAGTCTTTGTAAGTGCATAGCTGTGTGCATTTTTTAGCTTTTTCACCGAATCTATTATGATAGAAGCAGTAATTTTTATTATATTCTTTGTTTGTAGCTTGACTTCGGCTTCGGCTTCGGTTTCGGCTCCTCCTGTCCAGGTCTTTTTTCCTCGTTCTTCCTCTTGAAAGACGTGTGGTTAGGGTTGCCACCTGTTTTGCTAATGCTTGAATCTGTTTTTCTAATGTTGGGTTAGGTCCTTTTTGTTTAGTGGCATCAGTTACCGTTACGATGGCCCTTAATGACATTTCATGGATGCGGTCGGCTTGTTCAGCTACTTCGGTGAGGCGATCCTCAGGTGCGGGTTGCGAGAATCATTTGCATTTGATTGGGAAGTCTACCAAGCCAAAGTGTCCTTAAGAGAAAATCAAGCACGTTTTCTCCTGCTAATGTGCGCAGGTGTCGTAAAAATTGCGAGGGTTTGCGATCGCCGATTTCTTCGAGCTCTAGTAACTGCCGCGTCCGCTGCTCCTGAGAGATTGACATTTGCTGAATGAGAGCTCTTTTTATGGTTTCGTATTTATCCGCTTCGGGGGCTTGCGTAATTATATCTTTAACTTCTTTTATTTGGCGTGAATCCAATTTGGATAGGACATAGGAGTATTTTGTAGAATCCTGTGTTATGCCGCTGAATACGAATTGTCCCTCTAGTTGTGCGAACCATAATTCTGGCTCGTCACTCCAGAAAGGGGGAATCTTAACTGCTACTTTATGAACAATTTCTCTTGCTTCGTTCTCCATCTTACTACCGTGTGCGTCGGGGGGGGTCACCAATTTGTAGGGAACCGCTGGGAATATGGCAGGTTCTTTTACTCAATAACCACACGGTAGGAACAGTAAAAATAACATTTATTCCTTATTCATACATCATCGAATATAAGGCTTGTGATAGTGTCTAGTGTATGTGTATGGATTCGAGGATCGGGTTTGCGTCCCCGCGTTTCGGACCCGGTATAGGGTGGATTCCTCTCGTTTTCCGTCGGTCTGGATAGACACGTCCCTAGTGCTTATCGTCGTCTGCATGGCTGTAGACCGGGTGATCTCCCGAAGCTTGGATAGTCGTGGGTCCCGTGGCTCCGGGGAAATGCGTGGTGACGTGTACCACGAAATTGTCAGTATCTGCACTGGCCCCGACCGGCGTGGTAGGCCTCGGACCGAGGACAGCCTTAGGCCTTCCGTAGGCCTTCTTTACGCCGCGTGGATGGAAGGCGATGGTAAGGCCACTCCTGCTACGTCCTCGTCGTATGAGAGGTGTTAGAGAAGGATCGTAGATGACCCTTCTCTTGTCTTCTTTAAGAGAGGCCGGGATGCGGACCCCGAGAATGACCTTCCGGGAGCGAGGTCTACACTCCAAGGGGCTCTCCCCCGATTGGGAGCTCCTGTTGGCCGAGGTGGTCCTTTGGCGGGAAAAGTGCCACATGTAGTCCTGTCTTCGCTTCGTTGCTCCGTCTGCCCGACAGTACCGGAGATGGTCGCGTCTTCTTCCGAGTGGTGATCTCCTCCGAGAGAGGAGGTAAGTTCTCCGATGCCGCCGTGATGTCGTCGAAGTTGCTGTTCTTCTCGAATTCTTCTTTCTGCTCGTAGCGCGTAGAAGGGATAGACGTGAGAGAGGTGTCTTGGCTCTGCGGAGGTCCTCCTTATATTTGCAGAATGCTGTTTTTGATTTGTGGGAAAAGCACAGTTGGCGTGCGACACCTGGCGGAGGTGCCCGGTACTAGGCGCGCAGGTTATAAATAGCCGCCGCATGCCTTGCGCGCTTGCGAGAAAGCCGAGTCGCCGTGTGTTTGCGCGCTTGCGAGAAAGCAGTGTCGCCGCGTGCTCGTGCGCTTGCGAGAAAGCAAAGTTGCCGCGCGCTGAGTCAGTTCGCTCTCGCGAAACGTCTTGTGTGGCGTATACCGCCACACGTGTGTATGAACGCGTGTGTGCGCGATGATTGTTATGACGCGCGCGTCTATGCGCTCGGAATCGGTCGAAGACCTCGCGTGTGTTGTGGCGGTGTTTTTGCTGCGTTTCTTACGCGGGGAATCCCGTCGTTCCGGTAATCCGGTAATCGGCGAAGAAGCTGTTAGATTCCGCGAATAAATGTCCCGTTTCCTCGAAGGGAAATCGCGTACGATGTTCGGGATCGCGTTTTGATACGGTTGGCCTCGAGAACTCTCGATCGGGGCGGCTCTGAACTCCACCTTCCGTGGATTTTTCCAGCCGAGGTGCGGAGGAGTGGATGGAGGCAGTACCCCACGCGACAACGAGAAATCTCGGCTCAGGCTGAGTACTCTCGACGTGGTTGATCAGGGCGGTAGTGCCGGTTTCAGGGTTTCGGAGAAGTCTCTTTAGCATACGGCTAAGAGGGGATTAGGAGAATGAGCTAATAAGCCGAAATACGGCCTTTTTATACCGGCTA